AAGAGAGACGAGGTCGCCGACCTACTATGCGTCACCGACCTGTGTGTCCTCACCGAAACTTGGCTTCAGGATTGTACTCCAATCGGAGAATGGAGCAATGGATTCCAACTTCCAGTAAGCATTCGACTCAGTTAACCACAGGTTGTTAGATTTCAAGCTCCGGGAAACTGGGTTTAATTCGAAAGTCTGAAACTGGCCTAGAGCAATCTTGTCCAGGCGGACCTACAGGGTGCGGGTGCGGGGGTGTCTGTCGGAGGTGAGTTCCTCCCAGCTCCCCTCCTCTTTCTAGTGTATGTCAACGACATGACGTCAGGGTTGAAGAACCGCTACCTTTTGTACGCGGACGAAATCAAATTAGTTGGAAACCCGGGGGATAGGTATTCCTCGCAGAATGATGTCTCGAAAATATGCGAGTGGTCGCGAAAAATGAACCTCCCACTGAACGCATTGAAGAGTCATCTGCTAGCCAAAGTAATGCATCATGTCCCCCGACAGATCCTCACTACGGCCGGAGCATATGCGACCCCAGCTTACAAATCGGAGGCAATGGACCTCGGGATAAGAGTCTCCAACACCTTTTCCCCGTCTTCTACCGCTGAAACAGCAGCCTGGAAAGCCAGGCGAGCTCTGTTTAGACTCCGAACGGCAATCACAGACCGTTGACCTAGTGTACTCATGCCCCTGTACACAGCCATTGTAAGGCCTCACCTCGAGTACTGTGCTCAGGCTTGGGCATCATATCTTCGGAAGGACATCAAAGTTCTAGAAGACGTTCAGCGACTAGGCACCCGGATGGTCTGGGGTCAAGAAGGACTCAACTACTCGGAAAGACTAAGCTCCCAGAACCTGTTCTCTCCAGAACGCCTACAGATGACGGGGGACCTCATTAAAGTGTACAAAGCCACTAGAAACATGGAGCAGTCCCCCATTGGGCACTTGTCCACCTTGCGGGCCGACAACATCCTCCGAGGGCACTGTTACACACTGGAGAGAACCAGGAGTAGGCTAGAAATCAGATATCACTTCTTTGAAAATAGAGTAGTCCCTGCATGGAGCAAATTACCAGCTCCAATAGTTGAATGTCCCACAATGAATGATTTCAAACTGTAGCTGGACAGAGAGTGGTATCTCTTATTCCCAGATCTGACCTAGGGATCAGGGTTCCTTTAGTTTACTGACGGAATGCATGTCACAGATACTGCGCCGTTTCCCTTTCCCTTCTACCTTCCAGATATTACTCCCTCGTGAAGAGCCGGAAGTAGCTTTACACTAGCAGGCAAGTTGGTCCACGGACGGAACCCGCCATTACCAGGACACCCAACGGGCGAAGGTCTCTCTACGTCCTGTGATTCGAATTTGAATTTGACCTCATAGAGACATTTGAAATTGTCAAAGGGCTTTTGGGTTTAAATTTCGAAAACCTATTCTCGTTTGTTTCTTGCCAGCGGCACGAGGAGCCATCAACTTAGATTGAAAAGAAGTCATTGTACAATAAATCTACGAGCTAGGCTCTTCATAAGTAGGGTTATACCACTGTGGAATAAATTACCTGAAGAGGTGGTTAACTGTATTAGTGTCGGATCTTTCAAGAGAAGGCTATATAAATACTGGGCAGTAGTATTGCTCGAGGTTAAATGTACGTACGCGGTACGTTCGCGCGCGGTTTGAATTCCCACTGTGCTCTATCTCGTTTACGATTTTTTCCTGGTATTATTGAAATAGCAGTATATATTTTGCTCTAATAAATCTTGTAGGAGTTTTCCGTTTACAAGTATCGTCCGTGATCTATCAAAGATAACAAACCTTTCTACTAGGCACTTGTTCTGAGTACACTTTGGTGTTCGCAGGCCTAAAGCATTTATTTTCGAGTTTGTTAAGCGTATTTTTTACTTTTTTCTTATCGCCTTGTGTCCATTTTTACAAGGTTAGAGAACTGTTTATTAAGACATTCTTGTTCATTTTGCAATCACGCAAGCAAAAGGTTCTAACGCGTGTGGGGCCAATTGTTGTGAAAAATATGTCACCCAGGAAATTCAATTCGACGGCTGTGGGGTGTGGTATCACCAGCGATGCTCTCAAATGAGCAAAAAGGAGTATCAATTCCACATAGAGCACAAGTCCTTTAAAAGGATGTGTAACCACTGCACTAGCCGAGGAACTCAGGAGAATTCTGAAGTCATCAGCGGCTCCCCAGAATAAGGAAAACAAAGAGCAACCGGAAGGGGTTGCGTCTGCGTCATCCCCGAATAAAAGTACACCAATAAGAGAAGTAGATAACCGAAACAAGGAGGTTGGACTGCGGATCATGAGGCCCGTAAAAGCTAGGAAGACTGTCATTAAACCTTAGGTTGAGCCTAAATATCGAAAAATGGCACAACGGATTGAGCAATTGGAGAGAGAACTCAAGTTACTTAAATAAATCAGCGAACTTTAGTTAGGAAGAAATAAGAATTTGCTCCTGCATAATTGCGCGAAGCCAGTTATAAACATGGCGAAGCCGAGACGAGAAGCTAAACATCGCCATGTGCAAAACATTTTTAGACTAGCAAGGTTGCCACCGAAATCCGTCTGCACCATCGGACGACTTTCAAGTGGGCCGATTCACTTGGGATTATTACCAATTCAAGTGGAGACTTCGCGTGGTATGGTCCAAGCCGTGACGTTTCGAAACAACGGATCGGATACCACCCGCTTGAGAGAGCTTTGCGAGAGAACACGGCTTGGGAGGACAAAAAACCTCACTGGTAATCAGCAGGATAAATGGGGCACGAGCAGTTCGAGCTTCCCAACTGAGTTTGAAGTTAGCTCCCACATCGGGGGAAGATACGATAGAGGTGCACCAGGCATTTACTATCGCCGACCTACCAATAAGAGCTTCCAAAAGCATCCGGTGGCTAGCGCGGCGCTGGCCTCACCTCCACGATCTGCCGTTCGAGGATGTTCCGGACACCCGAGTGGACATATTGATCGGCTGTGATGTACCCGAGGCGCATTGGGTTTTGGACCGACGGATAGGAGGCCAAAGAGATCCGTATGCTGTGCGCACGATGTTTGGTAAGATACTCTGCGGACCACCCGGTAATGATGGTAATTACTCAGCCTCGATCAACTACATCTCGCGGCCTGATAATCCCATAGGAGACGACCTGCAGCGGCTTCACAACCACGAGTTCGGGAACATAGCAGACGACTGGGTATCTATGTCGAGGGAAGACCGAGCAGCCCTGGCTGTCGTTACCAAAACGACACGACACAACGGAACCCAGTTTGAAGTGCCGTTACCCTGGCGAATGGGATCCAACCGACTGCCCGATAATCGAGAGATAGCCCTCCACAGGCTCAACAAACCGAAAGGACGATTGAAAAAGAACGCACCGTTTGAGGAAGCCTACTGTAACGCCATGAAACGCAATCTAGAGTTGGGATATATCGAATGCGCCATCGGAGAATCCGAAAAAGAGCAACCACTGTGGTACCTTCCGCACCAGCCTGTCATCAACTCCAAGAAACCTTGGAAGACCAGAGTTGTCTTCGATTGTGCTGCCGAGTGTGCCGGGATCAACCAAAATGATCGTCTACTGTAAGGCCCAAATCTTCCAACCCCGCTGATTGAGGTGCTGTGCAGATTTTGTCTGGGGTCAGTTGCAGTAGCGGCTGATATACAGGAGATGTTCATGCAGGTCAAAATCACCGAATGGCAAAGGGACGCTTTACGGTTGTAGTAGTGGCCAGCGGGAGACCTAGATGGAGCTGATCAGGAATATCGGATGACGGTACACCCGTTTGGCGCGATATCCTCTCCGTTCTGTGCAAACTTTGCTTTAGAAACAACCGTGAATCAATTTACTCAGCACTTCCAAACCCCGGTGGGCTCCTTTGTTGAGCATAATTTTTATGTGGACGACTTCCTGGGACCCTTTGATAGCATCGAGGAAGCAGTTCGACACATTAGGGACTTATCCAAGCTACTGCTCATGGGAGGGTTCAAGTTGACCAAGTGGATGTCCAACAGTCGTCATGCAATCGATTGCATCCCGGTTGATGAGTGGGCATCTAGTCTCCATGAATTGCAGAGGAGTCCGTTACCAACAGACAGAGCACTTGGTGTGCAATGGGATTCGGAGAAAGACGAGTTCTTGTTCCAACTCCAGCTTCCCGAGAAGACGGCGACGCGCGGAGGAATTCTGTCTTCGTTGGCCGGCTTTTACGATCCAATGGGGTTCGTCGCACAGTGGTTACTACCGGGCAAGATTCTGCTGCAGGACCTGTGTGTAAAAAAGGTCACTTGGGATGAGACCCTACCAAGATTCTGCTGCAGGACCTGTGTCGAAAAACGGTCACTTGGGATGAGACCCTATGCGACGCGGATCACAAGACCTGGCAAGGCTGGTGGCTGAGCCTATCCAAGCTGGGCGATATACGATTCCCTCGTTCCATACCAGGCGGATCACAAGACCTGGCAAAGCTGGTGGCTGAGCCTATCCAAGCTGGGCGATATACGACGCCGTCGTCCCATACCAGGAATGCACAAAGGAGAGCACAGTGAGCTACACGTTTGTTCGGACGCGTCGGAGGTGGGATACGGAGTGGTGGCCTACGGTCACCTACGGTTGCATGTTGAACTTTTGAAAATCCCTCCAAACCCATGATGAGTCAGGGCGATATAACTCTACCTGTGTGTTGCTTCTCTATTGACATTTCTCAATCACAAACACCATACATTATTCTGTGTCTGGTAGTTTGATGTCCGGCACATTTGAATTTAGCGTGGTGAGAGAACGTGAGTGACTGTTTGGCTCCCTCGGAACATCATACTTGGCTCGCTTGCTTTGATGCTTTTGGCCGCATATTTGAGGTTTGCTTTATTGTATATTTTGTAATGATTTCTCTAATTCAGTACCGTAGAATATTACGGATCAATCGTGTTTTATTTCAGGATTCGTATCGGCTTCGGCTATGCGTCGCAGAAAAGCGAACGGTTTGACGTACAGTCACAACTCATTCTGTAAGAACTGAACTGAAATTAACTGAACTGAACTGAAAAGTTAATCGTTAGACTTTACTTACCGAATCATTGTAAGGGATCTTTTACTGCACACTAACATTATGCCTTTCGGAAAACACTGTTGACTCGAAGTGTTGGAAGCCAACGAAACCGCGGACAACACAGGGAACTGGACGCGCGATTGAAAGGGGCCACAATTCTTCCTGTGAGAACTGAACTGAACTTTCGGTGTGCAGACATTTTAGGCGTAGTAGTTACATTTCATTTTTTCTTGTATCGGCTCACCGAGCTCTTACCCATTGTTTCGTCCGCTTGAGCTGGTTAGTCCAATACGCGTATTAAATTACATCAACACCGTGATCTAGCACGGACGGGCTTGAACTTTGCAATAACGATCACTCCTAAACTGGAATGAACTGATTTGCACGCGCTATCGACGATGAATTCTGAACCAAATTGGAAAGAACATACTTGGATGTATGCTCATCCAAGCAGAACGCAGAAATCAATCAAACCAAAATGTGCATCAAGCTCAACCGAGCTGACCAAGCAATAAGTCCCGGGTCGAACGTCGAAAACGTTATGTTGGAACGTTTGAACGAACAGGAAATTACAAACAGCAAAGATTGGAAATGACAGGAGACAAAAAGCATCAGCTGTCGTAACACTCCCGCTTGTAAGCCCACTGCCTTCCGTCTAGCCATTTTATATTTACCTCAACCCCAACATGATGGTTATTGATATATTTATCGGCAAAATTAGGTGACGCAAATTTTATGGCACGCAAATATTAAAGCAGCACGTGCTTGTATATGAATTTCCTCGACCGTCTTAATAACGAGAGCCACAGAGTCGATACAGATCCATGTGATAAACGATTAAATTAATCTCGTACCCCAGGCTAATTTGGGAAACCAATTGTCCTTGATAGCTGGCAAGAACAAAAAACTGATTATACTATTCTCGATCATGAATGAATGATGAAGAATTGCTTTTGGGTACTAGTGAACACAAATGAATAAATAACCCCAACAAAACACAAAGAGAAGTTTACAACGGTGATTAGTACGATACGTACACCTGTCAATACTAGTGATTTGACTGCTGACTATAAATTCACAAGAAATGTCGTTCTGTGCAACAGTCGGAAACATAACTGACGAGAGTGTATCCATACAATATGACAAAAGTCAAATTTAACGACGAATCAGTCGTCCATATGTCATGCATTAGGCAACAAATAATCTTTCACTCACATCCATCTGACGATCAAAAACATGGGGCTACAGTGATCCATACCGTTGGTAGAAGAACTGGGTTGCACCAAAGAAACAATGCCTCAACTGGCAAACAATGCAACCCAATCAGAACCATCGCACTGGGTCAAGGCAGGCGCATGAACAATCACATTAATGAACACCACTAGATATCTGAAACTATCAGGGATGTGCTGACATCCTCGTCCCCCTGTAACAATAGGAGCGCACATCTCTGTTATTGGTCTGCCATTATTGCCATGAACGGGTATTAGATGGCAGGTAAAAACCCAACTCGTCATCAAACAAGCCCCCGGTACCCAACGCAAGGAATGCACATGCGCCAGGCCACAGACGGTAAAGACGACAAAGCGAATGATCACTACCAGACTAACAGTGTGCCAAGCTCTCCACCACAGACTTCGGGATGTCACTCGTCAAAGACAGTCACAGAATTTAGTTTACTCAAGATAGTTTCGTTCACTGCAAACTGACTGGCTGGTATGAGTTGCCAAAGGAAGCCTTTTTAACGTAGTGCAACCTTTTAGAACCTACGGTAACGCTAGATCAAGTATCAACGGTGTGACCTCACCCGAACTGGCTGACAACCAACAAGCTCAAATGTAAACAATCAATACATATCAACATCGATGCATAAATCATCTAGCAGATTGAAAAACTACCATAAAGGGCAAACTGAACTCTCAACACTTCTAGCTTTGGTACCACAGCTGCACAGATGAAAATTTGTCATGAATCCATAACGCACAGCAAACCTGTGTAGCCGAAATTGAACTTAATGTAACAGTAGTGTCTGCTTAACGGAGGGAAGATACGACATAGGTAAACAACGCTGAACTACAGGTGCTCTAGTAACCTAAATTATACACTAAAGACGACCATCACCATCAGCGATAAGTAAATGAATAAATAAATAAAGCGCTATTAGATAAACAAGGAGTTTGTTACGGAGGATATACCCGAGTGCTTCGTCGCGCGATCTGCTTAAGGGATGTAAGCAGACCAAGACAACGCAAACCTAACTGGCATCCTCCAAATGACAGAGCTTTCTGACACCCCGTTTTACAACATTCCGACATTTTCGCACCATCACTTCCCTGACCAAGCCATCCGATCTGTCAAGAACTTCACAGACTATGCCCAAAGACCACTGATTCCTGTTAACTCTCTCACCCAACACCAAAACAAGATCTCCCTTCTTGAGATTGGGTATTCTATCGAACCACTTGTGCCTTTTCTGCAGTATGCACAAGTATTCACATTTCTAGCGTTTCCAGAATGTGTTGGCTAACACCTGCACTCGCCCCCAAAGCCTAACGCATGATTTTGGAAAGTCACAGACATCCATAAATGTTTGGTTGTCTCTGAGCAATAACAGCCTGTTAGGCGGCAAAGCGTCTAAGTCTTTGGCATCTTCAGACAGGGGCACTAACGGACGGTCATTCAAGATTCGTTCTACTTCAGCGACGAAAGTCAACAGAGATTCGTCGGTAACACAGTGATTACGGGTGATGGCGTGCAAGATTCTCCTTACGGATAGTATAATCCTTTCCCAGATGCCTCCCAAAACTGGTCTCCGGAGGAACAAAACGCCAATCGATCTCTCGCTCCAACATAAATCCTTTGGTTTTGGTATCTGAGAAAAGACAAACACACGCCCGAAGTTCGTATAAGCACCTTTGAAACTAGTTCCGTTGTCACTGAAAACCACTTTCGGTCTTCATCGTCTTGCTATGAAGCGCAGGAAAACTTGCAAAAAGGCTTCGGATGAGAGAGAATGAGTCACTTCAATGTGTACTGCCCGTATATTTAAGCAGGTGAATAAACACCTATATTGCTTTTGTTCCTACCGCCCTTGCTTTACGTATAGTGAACCAAAGAAGTCCACTCCTACATGCGCAAAGGCATGTCCATCATGAATACCCCGTTCTAAAGCTAAAGGTACCATTTGCTGACAGCCAGGATGCGCCTGATACCTTCGGCACTGCATACATCTTCCAATGACACGTTGAACGGCGGCTCTGCCCTTTAGTACCCGGAACCTCCTCCGAATACCGGCCAGGACTTAATTGCAACCTACATGACCATCGAACTCATGATGATATCTAATTATCAAATGTAGGATATGATGCTTGGCAGGAAGGATTACAGGATGTTTAAGGGCCTCTGACATATTCAACCATTGTAGACGACCCCCAAAACATAAGAACCCATGAATAAGAATGGGGTTTAATCGTTTTATTGCGCTATTTGTAGATATTCGCTGGCTATCGTTGGCTTCACTACGTAGCACGCCCAGTTC